TTATAATATTTATCCACATGTTTCTAGTTTCTATATAGACACAACGTGTTTTAGTTACTTACAAGTGCTAATTACTTATGGACTAATAACTTAAATTCAGTAGTGATTTTAATTGAATATTTTAAATATTTATTTAATTTTTCAAATTAAAACTGAACTTAATTGACTGTGTTAACTATCCTTTTCCAGTCCTTTTATTATTTTATTGTAATTATTAATTATTTGCATGCAATTAAAAAATATTTTTAATGATGCTAAAGAAGTATAACTTCTCACGCGCGTACATAAGTTACACGCATCCATTTTTTTTATTTCAATTCCAGTTCAAATGCAATAACTTTAAAACTTATAAAAGAAGACACATTTTTATTTGAATGATTCTTTGTATGAGAATGGCATGTCTATCTAAAGAAACTTTTCGAATTACACCTATTGAAACTCACAGTATGAATATAGTATATTTATGATGTTCATTGTCTGTGCTTCTTTTGAACAGTGCCCTTAGCACGAACCGACGAATTCGTAACGTTTGCGAGTCCCAAATCCAAATGTCATTGACAAATATGTAGTGAGTTTTAGTACTCGTTGCGTACTTTGTGACGCTGCTGTTCAAGTTTTCATACAAAATTTGACATTGACATTTAGAATTTGAATAGTTTGCAAACCGAAATGTCAATGTCCAATTTTGTATGGAAACTTGAACAGCAGCGCCACAAAGTACGTAACTAGAACTAAAAATCAGTACGTATTTGACAATGACATTGCGCTCTCGCATTCGAAAATATGGGAATCTTTTGTCTCTTATCGAAAATTCCAGCAGATAGAATTCAGACAAATACATTCGGTCGATTATTAATCTATATATATAAAAATGAAACCCGTTTTCCGTTGTCACGACATGACATGAAAACGGCTTGACCGATTTGGCTGTTTTTTTTTTTTTGTAGTTTTCTAATACTCTGTACAAGGTTCTTACGGAAAAAATATAAAGAAAAATAAAAAAAAAATGGTTGCCTGTAAAGTCGGTTTTACGGGCGAAGATTTTACGTGACAACGTCTTTTTCTCGGTAGAATATTTATTGATATGAATATAATTAAATTGCACAATAGGAACAAGGAATTGAATGAAAATAAGAATTGCACAAATTTTAACTATAGAAATATATTTTGTTTACTAAAACATTGTACATGTAAACTTAAACTTAACACGAGAGACTCATCGTAACGTTACCGAGCGTTACACTTTTTCATAAGTGACTCCCAGCCGCAACCTAATTTAAGACGTTGTCACGTCAAAATAATAGGTACTCATACATAAGATAGGTCAGCTATACAAAATAAAGTAGTGCATCAAAGCTACGCTAAGGCGGTACGAAGTTCGCCGGGTCAGCTAGTTAATAATAAAATGCATTTCTAAGTCGAATAAATCAAGTGAAAAGTCCTTATCGTTATCATTTATTAATTATAGCTGCGCTCCCAAGCCTATCCCTTCAGGATAGAGTACAACAATAAACACTATACATTTATAATATCTATTGGATTCAATAAAAGTAGTTTTTTACGGGTTAATGCACGAAACTTTATTTATTTATTGACGTTTCGCAGCCTTTACAGGCTGCGTCGGCGGATTTTTTATTTTTTTTTTATTTAATTTTGTCAAGCTACCTTCGAAAGACTTTTATTGAGCGTTCGGTTATTTCTTTGTACGATTTTTAAAGTTTTATTGTCTATGTTTGAATTTATTACTTAAAACTACCGTAAACTACCACCGGTTCCAAAATTGGGAGACCTTTCTGAGAAGAACCATCGAAACAAACTCAAGAGAGGCTTTCTATCTCCTTCTTATGTTAAGTTATGCAAACAAAAAGACTAACCCGTGAAAAGCTAGTTTTATGAGTCATCATCATCATCATCAGCCTATTAATGTCCCCACTGCTGGGGCACAGGCCTTCCCTATGGATGGAATAGGGAGATTGGGCCATGACCCACCACGCGGGCCCAGTGCGGATTGGTGGGTGCTAACGACTGCAAATGCAGCCGGGACCAACGGCTTAACGTGTCTTTCGAAGCACGGAGGAGCTCGAGATAATAAATTTTTGGTCACCCATCCAATGACCGACCACTGCGAAAGTTGCTTAACTTCAACGATCGCAGCCGAACGCGCTAACCACCTGCGCCATCGAGCTCCTCATTTTATGATTGATGTGCGTGAAAACCTAAGAAACAAATATCTATTAAATTTTTCCGGATTTATCCGTAACTATCCGGTACGCTAGGTCACCCCACAAAAAGGGGTCTGGTAATTCTATTACTGGTAAGTATAACGTCGGGCTTCGATTGTGAAATATTGTAATCCGTAGGACGAAAACTAACGTTAGACCTTTTCCAAAAAGGGACGCTTTAGATATTGGCATAGTAAAATATTATATGTTGGCAGTTTTCTTAACAAATGTAGTACTTCACATTAAATGTCGCGATAGTCGCGTCTCGTTACTCACTCACTCTTCGTAAGTCTGACTGAGAGAGAGCGAGGCATGACATTTCATTTAAGTCCTCTACGCACTATCCATCTGTATCTCTATCTCTTTTACGTGTGTAGCGCTGTCCTGCATGCTGGATCCAGCAAGATTGATAGTGCGTAGAGGAGGTGCTACTCGTGCACACAAACGTAATGTCGAGCTTCTGTACGCCTCAATGTCATATTTGTACTCGTCACTTCAAATGTATTGCCGAGCTTCAGTACGCCTCGCCTCATTTGAAGTGGGACATTGTACTGGCTCAGTACAAAAAAGAGGCTACTCTTACAAACTCTTTTTCAAGTCGTGTCCTACCCAACACTACTACCAACAAATTAGAAATAGAATCTCTATTTAGTGGGTGCTAACGACTGCATTGTGAAGGCCTATCAAAAGTATTTATTAATCTGGAACAACGGAACCAAAGCGCGATTCAGGAGACTACAGCGCCATCTCTTGACCATTGGTGTAGTAGAACCAAAAACCACATCTTTATTTTTTTTTATGTTATAAGGGGCATACGAGCAGACGGCTCACCTGATGGTAAGTGATCACCGTCGCCGATGGACACTTGCAACACCAGGAGTATCACAAATGCGATGCCGGCCTTTAAGGAAGGAGTACGCTCTTTTTTTGAAGGTTCTTGGGTCGTATTGGTCCGGAAACACTGCACCGTTTTGTCGTAGGTGGTAAAAAATTTCGACAAAAACGCACGGTTGTGGATAGCCACGCATCAAGATGATGGGGATGAAATTTTTGTCGCGATGTACGATGGCGAAATGCAGCAGCTGGAATTAATCCGAACAATTCCTCAGAACACTCCCCGTGATAAATGCGATAGAAGATGTTCGCTAGTGAAAAGATAAAAAATAAGTACAAGATTTGAGGAGCTCAATGGCGCAGGTGGTAAGCGCATTCGGCTACGATCGTTGAAGTTAAACAACTTTCGCAGTGTTCGGTTATTGGATGGGTGACCAAAAATTTACTATCTCGAGCTCCTCCGTGCTTCGGAAGGCACGTTAAGCCGTTGGTCCCAGCTGCATCTGCAGTCGTTAGCACCCAACAATCCGCACTGGGCCCGCGTGGTGGTTCATGGCCCAATTTCCCTATTCCATCCATAGGGAATGCCTGTGCCTGAAGTACAAGATTGAAAGTAAATAATTTAAAATTCAACTATTTGAATACGATGGTATTTATAATGGATTTTAACCACATTCATAAAGGTTTATCCTTTTTTATTGGAACATTAATTATCTTCAATTATATATAACTAGCAAACCAGTGAACCAAATGTTCACCAAAACCTGATTTCTCGAAAACCGGAAGTGCTACGTTACTCTAATCCGGTTTGTAGTCTTATCAAACTATTCTTAACTTATAACTTAAATATTCTCTTTATCTATCTCTTACGGTTTGGCCGCTGAAACAGCACCACGGACAGACGGACTCGTCTAATAGATAAGAGATTACCTACAATTTTAATTGGATACTTATTGTATACGATACTAGTTCGTGCTAAATTCTCCGGAACATAACACTTGCACGAATGCACCGCAAGAATTCCTGATCTGATTCCTGCCATATTACGTCACGCTTGGTGACATGATTAGTCGGCTCTGTGGGCCTCATAGAGGTATAAGAATAGAGTGAGGAAGGCGGCTCTAAAAGTGTCCGTCTAGTAGAAAGAGAAAGAAGATGAAAGATCGCTAGCTATATCTAGCAAGGCTACGGAAAGACGTACGCTAGGCTACGGAGATACGTAATCTAGGCTACGAAGAGACGTAATCTAGGCTACGGAGAGACGTAAACTAGGCTACGAAGAGACGTAATCTAGGCTACGGAGAGACGTAATCTAGGCTACGGAGAGACGTAATCTAGGCTACGGAGAGACGTAATCTAGGCTACGAAGTGACGTAATCTAGACTACGGAGAGACGTAATCTAGGCTACGGAGAGACGTAAGCTAGGCTACGGTGAGACGTAATCTAGGCTACGGAGAGACAGACGTAACCTAGGCTACGGAGAGACGTAATCTAGGCCACGGAGAGACGTAAGCTAGGCTACGGAGAAACGTAATCTAGGCTACGGAGAGACGTAATCTAGGCTACGGAGAGACGTAATCTAGGCTACGGAGAGACGTAATCTAGGCTACGGAGAGACGTAAGCTAGGCTACGGAGAGCCGTAGTCTAGGCTACGGAGAGACGTAAACTATCGTATGGAGAGTTGACTACGCAATTTAGGGAGCTTATCCCGAGGTGTTACAATTACGTTACGATTCTGATTAGTGGGCATTGCAGTAGAAAGTTTAATACAAATAATACCGAACGGCTCGAGTTGATACGGAGACGATGCCTTTCCGAGTTGATATGTCTGCTACGGCCGTTGTCAACGCCTCTAACTTGTTTCCGTGCTCCACCAATAGATGGCGCTGTTCGTAACTTTTCTTTATGTCCGCCTAATCTAATGTTTTCGACTTCTTCGCAGGTGTCCGCGTGGGTGACAGAGCTGGTGCTGGCCCAGGGCTCATCTGAGGAGCGGAAGGCAGCCCTCGCTTGCGTCTTAAGAGTCGCCCTCACTTGCTGGAATATTGGGAACTTCAACGGCGCCATGGAAATCGTGGCTGGATTGAAGTACGTATTCTTTTACGATAGGTTTTTTTTTACCATTATGCTACCGCGACCCTATATGGTATATGGTCAGTGCATGCACCCGGATAGCAAAGGTTGCGGGTTCGAGACAAGTCTGTTACCTGGTCCGTGTAGACGTGGTTAGACGGGAGGCGGTACGGTGGGCACTACACCGCGTATTCAGTCCCCACGCGTGGGCCATCCTGCGCACGTCTGCGGGGTCCCCGCAATACCTCGGGAGACTCCTGCCGTGGAACCCCCGCTAGGCCGGGAGGCTGCTGGGTGCGAAGACGCGGAAGAATCCCAAAACGGGGATCCCGTGGTTTCGCACTAAGCAGCTTGGAGGGTATTCGCAGGGTTTATTAGCGGATATGCTGTAAAGCGCCCGTAAGAGTTACGGCGTCCTCAGTGAGTAGCCACTGTGGAGGCTCGTACGGTTTGCGGGAGCCAGGTGTGAGGTCCGTTCGGCGGTGTGCCTCTTAATAATAATAATAATAATAATAATTTATTGCATAAAAATATGGTATAAAAGGTGTTTGATCATTTTCATGTCTCACATATTTTACTGTTAAACAGCATGCAACAGTTTTTAAATCAACTTAAAATTAAAGTGTAATGCTTGTCAGCTTATCAATATCATGTCAAGATCATTTTATACTCAATATTATATAATGTCAATAAATATAAAATTATCCATTAAAATGTAAAAAAATAAATGTCCAATGTTAAAAATTTGTTTTCTCACAATGTTTCAATAATCAATAATAATCATACAATGGTGTCGATTCATAATAAAATAATAATCAAAAAGTAAAATAGTAAATGCACCAATATTTGCTTTTAGGATCCTCCAGTAATCAGTATCGTACAATGTCAAACAAATTAAATAAATCATCAAAATATATAATACATGTCCAAAATCAAAATTTCATATATTGAAGTCCATTCAGCCTACTTATCCTCAAAATACTCTGCAAGTGAATAATAGCATTTTTCTATTAATAATTTATATAGACGACGTCTGAATAAGGACATAGGTAATGACTTTAATGGCTCAGGCAAATTATTATATATTTTCACGGACATTGTAAAGCTATTTCTACTACAAATTTCAGTTCTAGAGTCTGGTAAACACATATTTTTTGGATACCTAGTGTTAAAAGTACAGCAGTCTTTTTTAGTTTTATAAAGGTCAGGGTGCATTTTGACAAAGATACATATTTCAAAAATATAAATACACGGAACTGTCAGCAACTTATAAAACTTGAACAAAGGCCTGCAAGAAACCCAAGAATCAACATTAGCAATAGATCTAATGCATTGTTTTTGTGCAATAAACAGTCTTTTAATTTTTACAGAATTACCCCATACTATTATGCCATACCTTATGATCGAGGCTACATATCCGTGATATGCTTTCAGTGCGGTTTGAGTATTGCTTATTCTAGACAAACGCCACAATGCATACGCAAATCTATTTATTTTGTTACATACTTTGTCAACATGTGCTTTCCAAGTACAGTGATTATCAAATTCTATACCTAAAAACGTTACTTTACTAGTTTCTGCGATTGTTTTGTTGTCAAAAGTAACATTTAGTTCCGCTTTTTAAGGCGCCGTCGTCTGCAAACAGAGTTTTTGGCTGCGTCGCAAAAAAAATGGTCCATGTGGTTTTATTTTTTTCTAGTAAAATGTTCTTTCGATTTAAACATCTAGCAGTTAAATACTTAAAAATAAAAAATATATCACTGTTTCAACTGTTTCAAAAATGCGTTTTTTTAAACTTTTATACGTACAAAAACGTATCTTAAACCCGTTGAAACCGTGTTTTGTTTAATGACTTGTGTTTGTGAAACATTTTTTTTTTTATTGATATCTACAACATTGTAATAAAGAAGACCAGCATATCAAGAAGAGAAGTTGGGAAGAGTTTTGCGCAGTCGGCAGGGGTTTCTTTCGGCCTTCAGCTGTTTAGAGTCTGTAGGCCGGCGGAAACTACTTGCCGGCTTGTGCTCACAAACGTCAAGGAAAGAAAAGAACAGAACAGAAGATAAGAGAAGAAGAACGTGTGAGAAAAACATAACACGCCATATTCATTCAGTGATTGTAGTCCTAGCCCAGCTTCCGGTTTCTGAAAAGTTTGTCACATCAGTTATGATTATTACAATCATTATCCAACTAATGTCTGTCAATTTAACATAGAATAGAATTAAAGATATTTTATTAACCCTCATTTACACATGTACAAATTCAAAAATCTCAGGACTAACCAGGATCCTGCCTCAGCATTATCTGATGCGACATTCGCACCAGCGCTGTTATTCAGGCAGGGCCTGTTTAGTGACACAAAAAAAGACATGTAAAATTTTTACTACTTAAAAGGACGTATGGGCCTTGTCCTTTGCTTTCAAGTAATATTAAATAAAAAAATTAAGTCAGTGGTGAGTATAAAGTTAAACCGGACTTTTTGGCGGGATCAGGAAGCGTCGACTTAGCAGTTTTGTTTTTCTTGTTAAAAATTGTGTTGTGGCGGATGTTAGTGTCTAATAATGGATTATTAACCACTAAGTGTTCGGGAACATGCACAAGTGCTGGCAAGTGAAACAAAATAGCCGAAAGTGTCTTACGACGTTCCCTCAAGAAGTCCACGGGGAGGTTCCAGTATATCCCCACACATTTACTGAAACATAGGGAAAGGGGGATTGACTTGACTGCCACTTACTTTGACTTGATTTATGTGTGCCCCGAGTGCTAAAGAATTTGTAAACATTTTAACACTTGACATTGGCTAAATGTACAAGCCGTGCGAAGCCATTTAGAAAAAAAAAAAGTTAAACCAGAACCGGTCTATGCCTTCCCATCTTGCCAAACTCAATATAATAAACTAGCAAACCAGTGAACCAAATGTTCACCAAAACCTGATTTAAAAAAGAAAAAAAATGCATTTAATTAATTGAGAACTTCGGAGATTTTCTGTGGTTTCGTTTGAAATTCGTGATTTCTCGAAAACCGGAAGTGCTACGTTACTCAAATCCGGTTTGTAGTTGATGTGTATCGGAGCTATCCGGAGACAAGTGAAACAAGCTGTGGTTAAACACGCACTGTTTATTGGTAGGGACGCGACACAGTTGCTGGCTTATAACTACCTACATACATAACATCTCTCCCTCTAATTGAATACAACCCTGGGACGATTGAACCTGGCTAAGAGCTATCGACTTCATGGAACTCGTCATCTACTGATGTTGGGCTCTCAGGCGTGGCAGCTTCTGGGCGTCCTGGAATATGAGATTCAGGCTCCATACTGCTACTATCCTGTCGCACCGAACTCTCCTCATCATTTACTGGTGAACCTTCCCCCGGCACATAAAACTCTTCTCTTCTCCCTCTACGTCGAATAAGTGGACGATGTTCGATAGGAGCAAATGTAGGGTCAGTAAAGCTTGAGCCATGATCCTGCTGTGGTATCATTAGACCAGCAGCTGTAGGTGGCGGCGGTGTGAGCGGTTGCGGCGACGACGGCGACGGCGGCGGCGGTGTGGGCGGCGGCGGCGGAGAAGGTAATGATGATAGCTCAGGTAAATGTACAATTTGGTTTTTGTTTTGGTTAATCGTCCCTTTAAACAAAAATATTTGATTCTTATGTCTTTTAATACACTCGTTACTTACATTATCTTTAATTAAATACATAACTTTACCTAACTTTTTTAATATAATTCCTTTATTCCATGTAAATTTTGTTTTGCTACTAAATTTCTTATATAAAATATTATCATTTTCCTTAAAGACATGTTTTTTATTTATCTCTTGTTGATTATGTGAGCACTGAAATCGTTTTGTGGCAATGGGTATTGACGGTGTCAAGGGTGACGAAGGCTTGGGCATCATTAGATCTAATCGAGATCTAAGGTTTCGGCCAAACACTGATTGAGCGGGGGACCGACCCGTGGTGGTGTGAACCGAATTACGGTAGTCTAATAGATACTGTAACAAAGTAAGTGAAATATCCTTCGCACTACTACATGACATTAGAGCTGATTTTATACCCTTTTTTATAATTTTAACAAAACTTTCAGCTTGACCGTTACTCATCGGGTGATACACCGGTGTAGTGACGTGACATATACCGTTAGAGTTACAAAACATTTCAAATTCCCGTGAACAAAAAGCTGTTCCATTATCACTAACTATAGTTTCGGGAATTCCGAAGCGAGACATAAAATCACAAAGTTTAGAGATCACAGCAGTTGAACACGTTGACATATTCATTTTATAAACTTCTACCCATTTCGAATGCGCATCTACCACGACGAGATAAGTACAATTTTTAATAGGACCTAAGAAATCTATGTGAATCCTATCAAAGGGATCTATTGGGTTTTCCCAAGGACAAATAGGGGCACGGGGCGGTGTAGGGCGCAACTGGATGCAAATGTCACACGAAGAAATCATATTCTCCAGCGCCTGGTCAATGCCTGGGAACCACAATCTCGCTCGGGCTTCAGCTTTTGTTTTTACTACGCCCAAATGAGATGAGTGTAATTCTCTTAAAACTAACTGATATAAATTTTCCGGTATTACAATCTTGTGACCTCTCATTAAACATCCGTTTTCCACTGACAACTCGGATCTATACAAATAATATGGCTTTAAACATAAATTGTTACATTTGGGAGGCCACCCATTATTTACATATCCTATAACCTGTTTTAGCACTGTATCTTTGAGTGTCTCGTTACGCAATCTATCCAACGTTATCGGTAAGCTACCATCCAAAACAAAACAAACGTACGTAGCGCGGTCGCAGTCCATCTCCCTCTCACCGTGATATTCGGTGCATACGCACCGTTCCCTAGCTTCGGCTGGCGTCGGCGGCGGCTCGGGAAGACTCGCGCGAGACAAATAGTCTGCAGCGTTATCGCCACTACGAACGTACTCAATAACATAGTTATAACTACTTAGGAAAATTGCGTAGCGCTGTAACCTATTTGCAGACAACTCCG